CACACACACACTAGAGCCAATTTTCCCAGAACCCACCAGTATCTCTATGGAATATGGGAGGAAACTCTTGCAAACATGAGGAGACCATACAAGCTCCAGACAGATGACACCCCACAGGTCCAGAATTGAACCCAGGACCCCAGCACTGCGAGGCAGCAGTGTCAACCCCTGTGCCACTGTGCTGTCCTATTACTCTCCTCCACTTCTCAATAATCGTTTTGACCACTCAACATTTAACGCCTTTGACATGTTTTTGTATCTATCCTCAACGTTGTCGTTCTACCACCTGCCCGGGAGTTCTTTGAAAGCTCCCTGGCGCTCCCCAGTGGATCTCCAGAGGAACTCCAATTCATTTTTCACAGCCACATGAAGTTTAAAATAAGGGTTTGGCACGGAGGAGACAAAAAAGCTCGCAAATGTCTTGTTGGTCCATTAGTTCAAATGTTTTTGTATTTAAAAAAAGAGTCAATACTGTGGTGCTGTAATATAAAATATATTACAAATTGTAAATGACTGCACAGCATTCGCTATGTTTAAATGGTTATTGAATCAATTTAAATACAATTGCATTACACTCGATAAAAATGCTTATTGATTATCAGACCATAATGACACAAACCAATTTTTTTAAATTTGTTATATGGTGATAAGCAACTTTGAATTGCATATTGATTTTATCATCTTACATTGTTAAAACTGTTTTATTACATACAGGATGCTTTAATTTCCGATACATCCAAATTCTATAGCAAACCAAAAATAGTTAGGTCTAAGGATTGGCTGTGTTGTATTCGGAAATTGTATGCCCATCATTTCAACTTCTCTGGGGGGTAGGTTTAAGGTGGCACTGGAGTATAATTATTGTGCTGGTTTCCTTAAAAAATTAAAGTTTTAATTGACAAATCTCACAGAGATTTGTGAATGAGATCAGATTGGTGATCCGGGTTTTATTTCTAATTAAAACACTTTATTTTAAACCTTTTCTTTCCCTCCGATGTCACAGCTAGACCTGCACAAAATCATTAGCAAATTATTTAGATGATCTTTTGCTGGAAGAGGGTGAGACAGGCACTTCAGAAACTTCAGAATGGTCACGACACCCTATGTCGATTAGCCTGTGCTTTCTGCGAAACAACCCGGGAGAGAGATTTTCTCAGCGAAGATGACAAAAACAAATCAATTTTGTAGTGCATCATGGGAACAACATGACCAGACGCATCTAGTAAATTCTCCCATTTCGGATCCTTTTCTTTCTTCCTTAATAAACCCAATCCAGTTATAATCTAATAATCCTTGCATGCAAGTCCTGTTTTATTGTGCTCAGTATGGAAATAAGTGTTATTAGAATAATGTTGCAAGCTGAAGAGGTGAGCTGACATCTGCTTGGGGCCCTGCTGGCTCGGCATCATTAACACAAGGAGATGTAACATTCGTAAGTCAGGGTAGCCAGTGGACAGATGTTGTGTAACTCTACCAGGTTATCTAAGGCTAAGCAAGAACTGAGCAATACTATATATTAACAAGTACAGCTGAATATAGTAACTTCTGAACGTAACATAATTAAAGCAGAGGTGATGATCTTGCTGATAATATGGCTTAAACTGAAATACTTCCTGCTTGAGAGGGGTGTTTGTTTTTTAAAAAAAGGTATTCCAGCTGGTGAGGCTTTTTCTTCGGGTGTGTCTTCAGGTGTCTTCAGTGCATAGTATGGGTGAGCAGTGCTGATGAATATTCTTCGTGTTGGTCCCCCGCTATTTCTGGGTATCTTGCACAGAACGTAACGGGGTCCTTCTGAACTGAAACAGTAAACAAATACAGAAATATCTTTGGTTAAAAAGGGTTAAGCTTTATTTCCTCGGGTCTGCATGAAGACAGGAGTGCCCTGCTGTGGCTCGTATTCTGAGACTGACCAGAAACACCCAGAAAACAAATTGAAGGTGAATTCTCCAGCAACCAGAGGCCTGGCCTTTCGGCACAGGGGGATTCACTGCTGTCTGAATAGGCTCTGTTTGGCTTGGGCCAGGGAGCTGCCTGAGAGATCATGTTCAAATCCTGGCAGAGATGAGCCTCCCATGACATGGCTTCACTGTTACACAGATTCAGAGAGCATTTTTTAAAATGTGGCATAAGGTAACCTAGACAGATTCCTATCGGTCATGTAACATGGCTCATTCAGCAACTGTTCCCCAAGTGAAATCATTCTTCCTGAACTAGAAGGTTTGGAATTTCCCTGCGACAGGAGACACATTCTTCTGAGTTAGAGGAGTGGTTCCCTATGTGTCTTTCAGCTTTTGATGCAGTCACATTCTCAATCACAGGCAGATCGATATTCTATTTTCTGTGTGAAGCAGATGATTAAATCTGTTTTCAGCTTTTAAAAAGCTGAATAGGATTTATAATAGGTATCAGCCATGTACCCATCTCTGAGTCTGAGAACTCCCTTCATTCGGCTGTGCTACATGGAATAACCAGTTGAGCTTCTGCAGAAGCAGTGGTATCTCTGTGGGAGTGTTAATTACTGTGCCATTTCTCCCTGTCTCAGATCATCAGGAATTGATTATATTACGAGCTGCTTAGACAGATACAGCCGTCCCCCAGGACACTGCTGTAGTTGAATGCATCTTTGCCTGAAGAGGCGTCGTGTGGCCTGGGGCTTGTAGGAGCCCGGGACATTGTGATCAAATCACAGCGGGGGAAGAGCTGTGCAACACTGCCAGTTTCTGGAGAATCTGATATTGTGCAAGGGTGCCACCTGTTGACATGATGCGGAATTGCAAGATGTCAAAAGCACGGTGCTCTACTGCATCGTTTTACATTAGCCATATGCGATACACATTTTACATAACTGGACTGTTATTCTGTTTAGCTTTTCGTAGCAAAACAAGAATTAGGAATTTAACCTTGATTTGTACTACATTCTCAAAGGGCTTCTTTATATTCACAGCATCTGTGACTATTATCCTTTTACTTGTATCAGGTCCCCTCTTAGTCTTCAGGGCTAAAGAGAATCAGTTTCTTCAGCCGGTCAGTGTTGGACAATCCCTTAAGCCCCAGAATATAGTTGCTTTTCTCTGAATGAAGTCCAGAGCAGCAAGATCTTTTCTATTACTTGGTTATTGTACACAATATTCCAAGTAATATTATGCTTTATACAAATTTAATATAAATTCTATGCTTTTAACTAAATATCCTAGCATTTTGCTTGCCTTTTTAAATGCTTCTTTGTGTAGAAGATGTAAATAATGTGTCAATATTAACAACTAAGTCTTCTCAGTCAGCATTCCCCATTTAATATTAACAGTTTACCAACCGGCATGCGATACCTTGCACTTGTCTATGTTAACCATCACCAGCCTGGTGTCAGTCCAGTAAACTTTCTGAATTTCATCGGCCGCTTCTACAGTATTTGCTACCCCTCCCGATGCGTTGTCATCTGCAAACTCAGCGTTTCCCTGAAGGCAACACCACAGTTCTTGTAGCAATACCTGTTCCTGTGCACAGCGCGAGAGTCCTGTTCCCAGACTAAAACAGGTAGGAGAGGGCCAGGCAGATCAGGAGCACGGAGCAGGCTGGAGGGATCCCAGGTGCCTGAAAGTCATCAGCACATGAGATCCAATCGGTTATTAGCTTTGTGTTTGTTTGTTTTCCTCCTGCAAGCACAATACATTGAATGAAAAACATGGCTGCCGAGTCTGTATGGGTACCATGGAAATATGGTGTGGGCTGCTCCTGACGTTCAGGGCAGTGATCCATACAGAAGGTAGGTACCAGAGACCAGTGGCCCGTCGGGCCAGAGCTCATTCTGGATCCTGGAGAGTTGAGCAGACTCAGAGCATGAGAACCCCAGGCCATTGCAGGGGTCACCCCCAGTGATGCTGGTCCCCAACTCATATAGCTAAAAGAGCTGCCAGATACAGTTCCTCCCTCAAGAAACTGAAACCCACAGCTTGTCAGCTATGAGCCTGTAGCTCACCCATGATTCTTTGTTCTCCCCCCATATGGTATATAATAATAATAACATCACTTTATTAGCCCTTTACAATTTCTTGCATTAGGAATTTGTCTTTTTGCATACCCCAGCTTGCTCTCCATGAGACACACAGACAGGGAGAGAAGCTTGGGGTCAGGGCACAAGGTCAGCCATTGTAAGGCACCCCTGGGGTGAAGGTCCTTGCTCAGGGGCCCAACGGAGTAGGATTCCTCTGCCAGCTGCAGGATTTGAACCAGCAACCTTCCAGCCACAGCCGCAGATCCTGAGCCACAGAGCCACCACTCCTTGTATATACTTTAGATATAAAGTGGAGTCTTGGGATGAACATGTACAGTATTGTGATCCTTAAAGATCACAATGAAAGCTATTCTTGTCCCTTCTCTGTGACTCTTGCTGTGTATACAGCATAGTGTAAGCATTATTACTAGCATTATTTTAATTTGTAAACCAAAACATAACTAGATTATAAACAAAATGTGTCCTAAAAAGCCAGTAGTTTTGAAAGTTTGGATTTGCATCTTTTTAAAAATGTTTTTTTGCTTGTGTAATGTAATTACATGTCTAATTACGTTTCCAGGGTGTAGTGGGAGAGACCGCTGCAGGTACTGTGGAAGGGATATCCTGTCACAGTGCTCGGGCCGGCGTCTCTCTTCTCTTCCACTCCGGGCTACTCCCATGTCTGCACTGCGTGGTGTCCAATCCAGGACCTCAGAGTTCCACTTTCCAGTTTTTATTTGCTACCTTTTAGCAGTATCAGAGTGTCTTGCTGTCTTGCTGGACAGTAATTTAGATTTGAAAAACTTGAAGAAATTAATTAAACAGCCCAACATTTGTTTGCAGATCGCAACTCTGGAACCTCCTTTAGAACCTGTTTCAGGTTTCCACTCTTGTCTCTTGTCTGTTTTGCTAAATATTTACCTATATCATCTGTAAAGTTCCCATTTCAGTGAACTTTGGCTTTAAGTTATGTTTTTGCAATCGTATGCGCTGGATGCTGTTATGTCAGAATCAATTTTAAAATAATGTGCTTATGGTCAGCCTTCTTTTCTGAAAAGGTACCCTCATTCATTGATACGACAGATAAGGAAAATAGAGGAAACAGCTGAGGACAAAATCGATAAACGTGAGATTACAAAAAGGCAGCACTCACCGTGTTAAGTACAGCAAACAGGTCATAGCTGACATCACCTGAAAAACAACAGAGAATTGCTTTCTTCATTTTCTTCAAATGTTAAATTAACAACAAGGAGCGACGGTGAGTTGAAAGAACACAACGGGAACCTGCAGCAGTCCAGCTCGTGGGATTAGTAATCAAACTGAGTCACATAAAGAAGAGTAATTTGCGAAAAGCCTTACTGTCATAGTCATATTCGTACACGGTGCTGGTTTCTTCTGTAGAATTCTCTTCTCCCCCTGTAGAGATAGGAAGTGATCGTTTTTAAGCCTAGTTGTCATGTATGGACATCTGGGGCTCCTGATTTGCACATAATATTTAAAATCAATAACATGGAACCACTGTGCACTCAGAGAGGAGAAAGGACCTGCATCAGTCTAGAAAATAATCAGACTAAATGAAATAAGAGTAATTTGCCAAAGCCTTACTCTCATAGTAATCACTGTAATCATATTCGTACTCTAGTGTTGCAGGCATGGGGCTGGTTTCTTCTGTAGAACGCCCTTCTCCCCCTGTAGAGACAGGAAGCGATCGTTTTGAAGTCCTGTCCATCTCTTAGATATTCTGGGGAATTCCTGCACTAATGAGGTAGATTCCAAGCAGGAATTCTGCCTCTCTGAAGTTCCATTTCCTTGGGGGGAGTTGTCACAGACTCAGTTAGGGGCCCCAGCCCCTCCCCAGAGTATTGCTCTCAGGGGTACCCCCCTCCAGGGGGAGCCAGAATTCAGAGTCGCAGATCCAGGCTTGATGCAGTTGTGAGAACTATCAACAAAGCTGAGCCTGGTCAAACATGGGCTAAAGTGGTGAAACTGGACCACTAGGTGGAACTCTTCTTTCTGAATAAGACAATGTACAGCACACTGATAAAGAAGTCTGGTTACCATTCATCCAACTTCTATGCGCTTTATCCAGTTTAGGGTGATAAGGGGGCTGGAACCTATCCCAGCAAGCAACAGGTGCAAGCCAAGATACACTTTGGACAGGACTCCAGTCCATCACACACAGGCACACCAGGGCCAATTTTCCCAGAAGCCATCTAACCCACCGGCATATCTTTGGACTGTGGAAGGAAACTGGAGCACCTGGAGCAAATCCATGCAAACATGGGAAGAACGTGCAAACTCCACACAGATAGTACCCCAGGTCTGGAAGTGATCCCAGGGCCACAGCCCTGCGAGGCAGAAATATTGAACACTGTGCTGCATCACATCTGGTAACGTAGTGGTTTTATTTTCCATCAAGAAACAAAGCTGAAGTCTGAGAGCAGAATGTTTGGTCTGGTGACTTAGTGGTTTTATTTTCCATCAGAAGCGAAACTGAAGTCTGAGAGCAGAATGTTTGGTCTGGTGACTTAGTGGTTTTATTTTCCATCAGAAGCGAAACTGAAGTCTGAGAGCAGGATGTTTGGTGGTCAAATTTCAAAACAGGTCACACACAGTAGTTCATTCCGGTAGTACAATCTTTCATGTCCTTCTCTAGACTGTTTTTTCTAAAACAGTAGGATTATTTCTTATTCTTTGAAAAGCCAGTGAACCTGGGAAAGATCAGTTAGCCATCACACCAAGAAAATATGGTACACAGGGGTGCTGAAAACCAAACTGCCTGACTGTGCTGGGTTTGTGCCTGCTCTGCTTTTGTGCTTGGTCTTGTGTCTCAGTCCATGTGTGCAATGAAAACAGTTATTGGGAGGAAAGGAAGTGTTACCAATCGTTGCTTTAAAAAAGTAAAACATTTGAAAAAACACAAAAAAGGGGAACTGGGGGCTCATGATCCAATTCACGGTCAGGGGGGCGATTTTATTGTTTCATCAGAATTGAAACAAAAGTCTGACAGCAGGGTGTATGGTGTCTCAAGGTTGGTGACCTGATAATTCTGTTTTGTCGTAAGAATTGAAACTGAAATCCCACAGCACAATGTGATTAATAAAGATTATGAGTCAGTTTTCTTCACAGGGTGTATCATGATCAAATCTTAAAGTAGATCGTACAGCCTTGTCTTTTTCACATTCTCCTTCCTTATTTAGGTTCAACTTATTTCCCCTGGGGCTTTTGTGGTTAAACAAACGAAGGCAAACGGTATAGCAAGAACGAATGGTCTCTGAGGTCTGAGAGAGAGTCTGATCAAGTTCTGTAATCCTGAGTCCAGGGAGGAGTGGTTGAAAGTTGGGCCCCCACTTTGACCACAGTGCTTCATTCAGATTGCTTTGGTAAAGTACCCTACCATATACATTTAGGATTTAAAAATAATCTAAAGATTCTGGCTATTTAAAAAAAATAATAGCCAGTTAACTTGGAAAAGATGAATTGGTCCTCCTCAATCATGAACACCATATTCCACAATGCTGCTCCAGACCAAGCAGCCCGATCCCAAGGTGCTTGTGCCTGCTCTGTTTTGTGCCTGGTGTTTTGTCCTGTGCCTATCTCTGTCGAGAAGCCACTCGCTTTCATAAGCTCCACGCTGATAGGAGACCTCTGCCCTGGATCTGTGTCAACGAGCAGCACACATCCGGGAAGGCCTCTCCTCTATCGGCAACCTCCTACGAGTGGGTGGTCACCCGACCCGTCTCATTTGTCTGCATAAAAGCGATCGCCCTGAGGTTATGAATTTCCTGCAGGCACGCCCGACAACATCGGCAGCCAAGAGTTCCATCCTGGAATCCCCCTGGCTGATGGTCTCGGGGATGTTGCGCTTGGTAAGGAGCTGAGACCAGCATAATCTTTGAGGAAGCAAAACTGCAGTCTTGGCACCACTGTAGAGCAATCACAAGGAGCATCAAGCGCTGTGGTCACAGCCTTTAGATAGTCTTCGAAACTGCACTCATGCCTGCTTTCATGTAGTGAGAAAGTGACAATTTTCTATAAAGAAGCAGAGAAGATACACTGTTTTCTGCTTACAGAACGGATGTCTCAGGAAGAACCTTAAGCTCTTTAATTTTGCCATCCTTTGCACGACTGGACAGAAATATCCTAATTCACATTTCTTTGTGAGCAAATGTCCACCGTTTCCTCTTTTTAAAAAACAAACGGACAACAAGTAACATTCATCTTTGATCTTGAGATGAAAGCAAAGGCTATTTTTTCAAAGAGTAGCTTTTCTTGAAACAGTGTCACTGGAAATACTGAAGGCTATGGAAGCACAAAGAAAAAAAGTAGTCTGAATAAGAAAGCACCTCCATTCTTTTTGTGGTGGGAGACATGGGAGACGTTAGTTTATTCTGGGCTTGTGAGAACAAAAAAATTGCGCTGGGTCAAAATGAAATAGCTTTTAAAAATCCGCCTTCTTAAAGGTGACCCACATAGCGTGCTACCTTTTAATAGGACTTTGATCACCAGTAACAATTAAGTTATTATAAAATTAAGAGTTCAGTTATATAAGCTAATTTATTAAGTTAAAAGTGTATGAAAAATTATTATTATTATTATTATTATTATTATTTTTATTATTATTGTGCAGCACTTACCCCAGCACAGGGGCAGTAGCAGTGGCAGTAGCAGTAGCAGTGATAATCCATGAGTCTGCTTGTTCATGTTTCCAGAGGGAGTCTGAAACAATGTGTGTCTCTGCCAAGCTCCTTGGGCCAGCGAGTGTATAGGCAGGAGAGGGGGTGGACTGGGGGGGGGGTGTGGCTTCAGTCTGACTTGACTTTTTTTTAACTGTGCTTTGCCAGTAAGAGACCGACCTACCAGAACCACAGGTGAAGCTCGGCCCATCTTCAGATTGAGCTACTGCGGAACAGGAGGTGTGACGCCCCTACTGCATGTCCTGCAGTCATTCGCTTAGACCTACTGAGCAAAACTCATGTCTTCCACTTTTTCACAAATTAAAGATTTCATGAGCACAGTTAGCTTCCCTGCCTCACAGGGTTCCATTCCGGATCTGGGGTGCTGTCTGTGTGGAGTTTGCATGTTCCCCCTGGGTTTGCGTGGTTTTTCCTCCAGGCGCTCTGGTTTCGTCCAACAGTCCAAAGACATGCTGGGAAGTTCATTGGCTTCTGGGAAAATTGGCCCTGGTGCGAGTGTGTTTGTTCATATCTGACTGCCGTTCTGTCTTCCCCCCCCCCTGCCTGCTGGGATAGGCCCCAGCTCCCCCGCGACCCTGAATTGTTGCAGCTGTGAGGAAAGAGATGAGTGGATGCTTCAGACCAAGGTTGACATGTCTCGTGCAAACTCGTTCTGCTCCACGCCAACAACACTTACCCACAGTGCCCTTTCAGCTGTAACACCAGACTTGGACAAGCAAGCTGAATCTCCTGCCTGTCGGGAATATGGGCATGGGAAGTCAACAGTTGAAACCTCAGTTGCGAATTTGAACTCACAAAGCTGGATGGTTTGGAGAGAATATTTATTTAGTGATAATTTATTTACAGAAGCTCTAGACAATCTGTTTGGTAATGTCCTCGGAAAAGTGCGTGCGGGGGCGCCCTGATGCAAAGTCCAACTCCTTCCAGTCGACTTCCTGCCATGTCCCAGCGTCCAGCGTGTTCAGTGGCTCCATCTGGAAAAAAGATTTATTGCTACACCTCAGCTATTTTGAATAATGCGGGGAAAAAGACCAAAGCAAAGTATGTGCATGAAGTGCTGTACATCCCCCTCCCCACAGCAGAGGGAAATACAACCAGCTCTGGGCTGCTCAGTATTGTGGAGGTGGAGCGCCACCTGCTGTCACGACTTGGAACTGCAGGGTTTTTTTTTTGCTAGTTGAATGATTATTATCTTCCGAAAATATCCTTCTTTGCAGACAAGCAACAAAACACTGTACAAAACTTCTTATGGAAATCTTCTTAAAGAGTTTCAGTGCAACTGTCCATCTGTCTATTTTTAATAACTGCTCAAGTCCAACAAAGTGTCTCAGTGAACCAGAGCCTAATTAAAGGAGGACACACCCTGGACAGGATGGCAGTCCATCACAGCGCACGCACACACGTGAGTACAGGGGAACATGAGGTTCAGCTTGGACTGAGACAATCATCACAGGATACAGACACACACCAATTTGGAAGCACCAATTATTCTAGCCAGCATGTCTATTGAAAAGGTGGGAGGACTCTCATGCAGCCACAGGGAACATGCATACTCCACACAGAAGGTACCACAAGAAGAACACTCAAACTCCATACTGAAGGTGTCCCAGGCCAAATATAACCCTGGACCTAGGAGCTGTAATTCAGAAAAACTAACAGCCACTGCAGCCTGCTGCCTAAACAATACATTGTGTCCGACAAAGAAAGTTCTTACTGTGAGTTAATGCATATTTATTTTTCATCTTTATTTAAATGATTTTTCTTTTCACTTAAACGTGAAATCTGGAAGGATTTCCTTCCCGTCACCAAAGTTTCAGATTCGTTCTCATTTTTCAATTATTTGCAATACTGTGTCTCAGTAGTATGTAGAACTTAAAAAAAAAAAACGAAACCAGGCTGAATCAGAGATCCCCTACAATTAAGCCTTAATTGAATTGCTTGAGCACTTATCTCCACCCGGATTGGAACGCTGGAGAACAAGGATTGAGGACCCAGGCCATGGCATTATGGCACAGTTCGTGATTGTCATCGTACCTTCGTCTGTCCATCGGTCCAGACGTCTGCTCATAGGAGCTGCAGGAGCTGGGCCAGGGCCAGGCAGATCAGGAGCAGGCAGCAGGCGGGGGGGGTCCCAGGTGAGTGGAAGAGACTGGCACCTGAAGGGGGCTGAAAGATACGGGCCACACGAAATCCATTCGGTCAACCTATCTGCTGTATGTGTCACGCCCTCTGCAGCCAGAGGGCGCTCCTTCCCTGTCCTGTCCCTAGTTTCCGGTCTGCTGTCCTTCCTGTCCCTCTCTTTCCCTTGGGCTATATATTTCCGGGTCTTGCACTCTGTCCTCGCTCAGCATTGACGTTCGGATGTCCTGAGACCCGCCTAGCACCAGGGTGCCCCACGTCCGCTCCCTGAGGGCATAGGTTTCTATACGGCATTCCTGAACTCTTTGCACTAATGAGCCCGGGCCTTTTTCCCGTCTCGCCGCTACGCATATGGGTCTTTTTCCGCTCTCCTGCTCCCCACGGTTAGTCCCTTTGGACGTCCGTGACAGTATGTCTCCCGCAAGGGACAGCACTCAATGCTGACCTCTCGAGCTCGCTTAGCATTTGTGCAATGAAACAAAGTGACAATCCGATCAAGGATCAAGGATGGAGCCAAACAAAGCTTGCAAACAGTCCAGCCCGTCTTCCTTCCATCTAAAATTTCATCCAGTCCCCTTCTTACAGGACCCCAGTGCTTAGGCCTCAACCTGGGGAGTGTGGAACACCCCAGGGAAGATACCGAGCCATGTGGGTGAACCTGATACTCTCAATGAATTAGATCCTTAATTAATTAAATTAATTAATTGATTAATTGATGCTGGCTAATTAATCACTAACTACCAAATACATCTAATGGTTTCCTCCTGTTTGTAACCTCTCTTATGTTCTTAACTGATATGTGATGTTTCTATAATCACTGAAAGAGAAACAGTTCAATAAAAAAGAGACAAAAAAAAGACTTACATTGTCCATTCCAAGGATTTCATATACTTCACTTTTAATGCTGGTGTTACCTGGAAAACAAAAAGGTGTTTGGGGGTTCTGGTGATTGTCAGCTCAGAGGTCTGTGAGAGTGTATCTGAAAGCAGAGATCTAACAGGCTATAAACCCGATCAAACTGGTAGAATTATGAATCAGGCCATACAGAACAATTTCCAAAACCCTTACTCCAGAAGAAGTAATCAATTGTTGAATTGTCTTCGTCGTAATCTGGCGTCGCCGTAGCGTAGTAGTCTTGCGTGTAGTCCCTTTCTGCCCCTGTCAAGGAAATAGAAGACAGAATTTGAATTTATTGAAATTATCACCCTTATTGAAAATACAGTCCTTTGTCTGTTCCGCAGTGCATGTTCGGTCAGGCCTTGTTATCTTAGTGGGACATTGGTGAGCAGCTCTGCTGCCTTGCAGGCAAACATGATCAGGCCTCAGGAAGCTCAGTAAGGCTGTGTCTGCGCAGCGCTGGAATAGGAGACAGGGAAAATCACTGTTCATGCACTGTTGCAGCGTGAAGTGGTGCTGGTAGACCAGTAGGTGGCGCTCTTATCGTCTGCACTAGAAATTCTGTACCAACGGTCCAATACAGTGACTGGGGAGATCGTATTGTAGGAGCGGATGTGTTTTAGGATGGTGGAATTAAAAAACAATTGTCTGTGGATGCTATAGGCAATAGAGAATGCAGTGTCTCTTTTCAAAAATTAGAATGTGTCCTGGGCAGTTTTCAAAAACAGGTCTTAGGTAAAGTCTACCTTACTTTCTAATACGGATGGGAATGGCATAGAAGTCAAAACAGTTAAGAGGAAGCACTTCTTTGCACAAAGGGTGGTGGGAGTATGGAACAAGCTGGCCAGCCATGTGATTGAAGCTGATACCTCGACTGCCCTTAAAAAACAGGCTGGATGAGATCCCTGCAGCAATTAGAAACTAGCTAGCAAACAGGTGAGATGGGCTGAGCAGCCTGCTCTCTTATGTTCTTATGACATAATTTAGATCATTGTTTATTTCATAGTACCCATTCCAGCCATGCAGGACAAACCTGCAAAAAAGACTCATTAGGAAGCACGATAACATATAAAAGAGTAAAAATAATTATTTTGTCCAGAAAGCATAATGAACATTGTGTATCTAGAGCATGGAATAGCCAGCTGTGCAAACCTGAACTAGCAGGAAGCTAGTTCACGGTCTTTAAAGGTTTTGTCTTCTTAAGATATTTTGCAGGGCTTTCTGGTCTCCCTGGAGTAAATGTCACCATGGGTGTTGTGCACGAGCCTCTGCGTCAGGCCCTTGGAGGTACACGAGGCCAAACAACGAGATCCAGCTGGGTTTGTGCCTGCTCTGCTTTGGGCCTGGTGTTGTGCCGCTGTGCATGTACAGTTATCCCTGCAGGGGGAGCCTCTGCTCTGGCGCAGCGACAGTGCCCCTCCATCAGTCCTGTCTTCTGAAGGGGCTGGAACTCCTGTGTCTGATTTGTATACAGAAGAGAAACAGTCGTGTGTATCTGAATTTCCTCCCCGCGGTGTCGCTCGCAAACAGCAGTCAAAGTTTCCATCCTGGAAACGAAGGGTTGATCCCCTTTGTTATTCCCTAGGATGAGCCAACAATGAGTGAAAGTTTCAAGGAAAGGTTTCACCTTCTTTTAAACTGCTTCTAAGGCTTCAGGCTCTTGTCTGGGAGGGATTTTAGAGAACAGATTTTAGGAACCAGGGAATGCAATCATGCTGTGATCACTGCAGGACCCTGCTGTAAGCTTGTCGACATGTCTTCTAGGTATTCGTTTTTATTTGTTTTTCCAAGACACCCCCTCTCCAGCAAACACGCACACACTTCATCACAATTTACCTGTTTCAATGGGATTTATCTGAGTGTACGCGTTTTAAATCACCAGTGTTTAGAAGTCTGTAAGACATATTCCTTTTAGGATAAGCTGAACTGAAATGAGATTGAATCAGGCGTCCCTGAGTCTGTTTCACATCAAGCGTCCTTGTCCTCTGGTGTCAGGTGAAGATATTTTATTGAAGGGGGTGAAACCGCCATTTCTGACATTTACTACGGTCTTGTTTATTTAGGATTAGTATTTATCACCCAGGAATCTGAAGAATTTAAACATAATGGAGTGTGTGCCAGTGAATAGGGACACTCCAAAAAAGCTTACTGATTAGTAGTGAAAACTGAAGTACTGGCAACAAGATCTTCACATTTTAACACACTCAGATCTCTCTACATGAAGCAGGCAGGGCACATGTGACATTGGCCAGGTTCATTCATTTCAAACAGCAAGAGAATCTGTGTGACCCTCCCCTCCATCTCTCCTGACATGAGACATGCACTGTCAAAATGACTGTCACACGAGACTCATATCTGCAGAACACAGGGTATGTCTTTTCAGCCAACTTGTCCATCATTTTCCACCTTATTTGGCAGGTGCACAGACAAAGAGCCCAATTGAAATGGCTTTCTTTGGTCACTGAGGGTACACAAGGCCAAACAAGATACTGCTGAGTTTGTACCTACTCTGATTTGTGCTTGGTGCTGTGTCCCTGTGTATGTAACCCCTGTAGGGAGTTTTGCACTAGTGCTGTGGCACTAGAGTCCATTTGAAAGGGCTGTCTTTGGCCACAGGGTGGGAGAGATAGTGCTGACAGAGGGGTGGGTTAAAGGTGTAAATTTGTCTTTACAGAAGGAGACTGGACCCACACCCACATTTGTGTAGCTGCAGGGTGCCATGTAAGTCTTGGAAAGTTTGGAAAACTAAAAGTAACTTGTTCAACATTCCGTTGCAGAATTTGGCTTCCAAAAGACAACCTGATTCTCCCAGAATCCCCTGCTTTAGGAGGCGAGGGTCCTCTCCACTGCTCTGACGGGCAAAAACAGCTCTTGCCAGGTCTCAGCTCGCCCAGGCTGACTCATTCTGATTTTAATTCTCTCCCTCTTCGCTTTAATGGAATGTCCTGAGACTGCTGCCTGCTCCTCACTCTCTTCACTCGGACAAGTCTCTGTGTCGCTTTCAGAGATGGACAGCTGAGGCTGCTCAGGGGTGATCTGGCACAAGAGTGTGCTTCAGTCTCTATTCCTGCTCTCTCCTCCTCCTCTCCTTACACTATTTCTTTCCCTCTCTCTCCTCTCTCATTTCTTTCTCTCCCTCTCTCCTCCTCTCTCTCTCCCTCCCCTCTCTCCCCTCACCCCTCTCTCCCCCCTTTCTCCCCCCTCTCCCTCCCCTCTGTCTCCTCTCTCTCTCTCCCTTCTGTTCTCTGTCCTCTGTCCTCTCTCCCTCTTCCTCTTCCTCTTCCTTTGTACTTGGCTTTTTTTGCATGGAAGAGCTTGAGGGACATGTGGCCCACACCACACACCAGACCCGCACTTGGAAATCTGGGATCACCGCCCTCCATTTGTTGGGATGTCAGGACCAGGCTTCCCATCATCATGAGAGGCTGGGAAATGACCTCTGTCTCGGGAGATCTGTGCCTCATCACCTCCCACGTGGAGAAACCATTTCCCACAGTTGGGGCTCCTTAAACCCACGACCCCCAGTGCGGAGAGTTTCTTTTCCTGTCCCCAATGGGGCATCATGTGTCAGAAATTAAAGATACCCAGATCCTGAGTATGGAAATACAATGACGTGGAAGACAGACAGATCCATTAGGACTAAGACTTGTTCTAAAAGTAGAACTTGATGAGAAACAGCCAAACATGAAACAGGCTGCATCTGAAAAGATAATCCTTATTTTGCCCTTTGACCCTTCTGCTGCAGGCGTACCAAAATGTATATGAAAAAAAAGCCACATATGTACTGGATTTATTAATTCCTTGTTCTGTGGTCCTAAGGCAAAAAAAATTCAGTTTTTACAGAAGGGAGAAGACAAACTCTCCTGCTTTTTCACAACTAGCCCTACCAGAATGACTACCTGAAGGTGTGCACGTACTGTATAAAGTGCTTCCAAAATTAGATCTATTCAGTAAACCATCTATCCATTTTCTTGCTGCTTCTTCCATTCCAGGGTCTTGTGGGAGCCAGACCCTCTCCCAGCAAGCACTGGGCACACGGCACGGTACCCCCTAGATGGAACGCCAGTCCATCACAGGGCACATACAGGGACCCACGCACTCACAGCGGTGCCCACTTCCCAGCATGTCTTTGGACTGTGGAAGAAACCCAGGCAAACTGGGGGAGAACATGCAAACTCCACACAGACAGCACCCCAGGGCGCCAGTGCTGTGAGGCAGCAATGCTGACCCCTGTGCCACCGTGCCGACCAGCACCTGGTACCTGGTACCTGGTACCTGCCGGAGCAGCGCCCTCTAGTGTTTCCCAGAGTTCATCACCAGCTGTGCGCGTAGTACTGTTCCTTGAGTATGCCAACGAATTAAGCAACAAGAAGAGGTTAACTCCATGCTGAAAAGCAGAAAGAGAAAGCAACATTTTGGCTGTTGAGCCTTCTACAGGTGAGTGCGTGCCTGGGCAGCACATATATTCCAAACTGCAATGATCCAGAGCAGATTAGCACAGCCCCTGCGCAAGCATGATATCCAGGTTCCTGCAGTGCGGTTTATTAAGTCCCCTGTTTTTGTTGGTTACCTTTCCACAGTGAAATGTGCATTACGTCGTTCTGTTAGTATGTGAAAGAGTACAATAGTGCAATACAGTCTGGTTCAACCAAAATGAGCAGGTAACAATGATGACGGTAATTAGTTAAAAAAAATCAGTGCTGAGGAAAAGAAGCTAGACTCCCTAACTCCCAGCAAGTCAGAACTTTGCAGCACCTCAAAGGTAAAGGAGATTAAAGCTTCTGCAGTTGGATATTTCTGTATTTTCCATGTGATACCCAGGTATTTCGGAATTGGGGGAATTGTTTCTGTGTGTTTTTGGCTCACAGGGTGGAGTGATAAAGGGCAGGAATGTGCACCCCAGAGCTACTCCCCTGTCTGCGCTGCTCGTCTGTAACACTCTGTGGGCTCCACAGCACCAGCTCTCTCGCTGTATCTCTCACCTGGGTCACTTCATGCCTGCAGGCCCGGAGCACAGCCCTGTCACTGGTGGGGCTCTTCTTACTGGGGAGTCCCAGTCATGGCTGGTGAATCAAGTCACATTTCCCAGGCTTAAACTTCCCCAGTCTTGGCCACTGGGCTCATGCTGTGCTCCGTGCATGTAGCCTCAGTGGTAGGGCCACTCTCAGCCCTGAAACTCTTAATAAACCAGGCTTGGGGACACACCCAAACTGAGAGTCCCATAATGCCCGCGCCAGTGTCGGAGGACTGGTGCAGC